TAAGTTTACTTCATGCTATAGATAACCGAATCTGGTTAAAAGCAAAACATTTCATTTAATTCACTACTCCGTGCTTTCGCGGGGCATATTCTGTGACGGGACCATTAAGGTCTCCACAATCCGGACTGGCAGCTGGTCTGACTTATCACTAGCATTCGGTTTGTTGTCCCTACGCACGCGTCCGAGTCAACATGCGCATACGTCATGAAGTCAACCAACCGGTCACGCCATTTGACTTCACTGTAATCTCTGTCGTAGTGGTGTTGGAACACACACATTCCGCAAAGCAAACTCCAAGCGTTTTGCATCTCCGTCATCACTTCGTTAAAAACACTCACACACACACACACACCCTGGACCACCCACCCACNCCCACATGTCCTTGTTGTGGTGGTGCACTGCGGATGATGCTCAAGTTGCTCGTGTTTGTTAATCGGACCTCGATTAGTCTCCGTCATTTTTCCTCATTTTTAGAAGAAAAAATCGTACCTGGCCGGTAGGTAATGATACGTGTGTGTTCCGTGATGTCGGTGATCAATTCTGACAGTCACATTTGTTCTTTCCGTTTTTGCTTAAATCGCTTCTGTTCACACACGCAGCCTTATAGTGGTTGTGCTCATACGCCTTACCTATCCTTAGTGCTAATAACTAATCCAGTAAATCAATAAACGCTAAATGATAAAATGACTAATTGAATGAATATCGGAAATATTCTAATAGATTATCAAAACTAAGTAACCAAAGGGGTTGTGCGTTGGGATGGGTCAAATGTACTTCCAGATTGTAAATTCAATCAAATCCGTTAGTTTTCTTTTATATTTCTGCTTGTTCTCGCTATTCTTGTTATATTTATTATTATTATTATTATTGTGATTGTTATTATTTCCCTTCCGGCTGTCACCAGGCCTGTTTGACCCATCCAATCCACCCGTGAAGCTGGAACCCGACCGTCCAGTTCACGTTATCCTTGATCGAATGGGAGTCTGGTCTGCGGAATGGCATATGCGCACATCACGTTACATTCGGTACAACATCACCGTCTCATCTGCCCTGTCCACAATCGGGATATTCATGCGTCGGAGCACTATGCCCACCATTGTTCGCCATGATATATTTGATCGAATCAGTGGTCGCACGCTGCAACCGACTACTCGATCTGGAAGACGTTTCGCACGGGCACGCAGAGCAATCGCGGAACAGTCAGCACCCACGATCTATCGATCCTCATCCACGGTAAACCTCTTCTTTTGTTCATAATATCCCGTACCTGTCTACTAAGATGTTCTATTTGTTACTGCAAATTGATGGAAAATGTACTCAATTAAGAGGTTTTCCCGACGGATGTGGTTAGCATAGCAAGTCCAGAAAAACGTTTTTTCATCTAATGGGAACGAGATGGGGGCATATGAAAAGGAACGAATTGAAGTACCTGGAGGTGGGAGAAAGTGTTTTCTAAAATGCTCTTTTTTGATGAACAGTAAAAACAGGTTAATTCATTGTTTCCCGCCTCAAGCTGTTATCCAACTATTTACATTTTGTTTCTTTGTGTATACTGCGCTTTAGGCGTTGTTATTCCCCACATATCTTTCCCGGTATGCTCACGAAACACGTCAAACTCTTGTATAAACGTATGGTATTCCATGTGACCAACTCATCATGTTTATCGTTATTAAACATTAACGCATGTCGAAATTTCCCTCGAAGGATACTGACAGACCACAATACCATCCTCTTTATTGTGGTCTTAGCAGATGTTACTCCACTTCTTCTCGCTTGCACTATAAACTTATTCATATTCGTTCAAAGGCACAGGACTCTTCTGTTGTACCCTATCCATCTTGTTTTCTCATTAGCTCTGAACAAGTTGCACCCGGAATAACAACTGCACTGATTAACATACCGTTGTATCCCACCTGTCCTTGTATGCTAAAATTGTGAATAGTTCAGTAGTTTCAGTGGGATTCGAATGCACGCATGCGCGCCGCCTACGCTTTTGTACAGCGCACGCTCTACCGACTGAGCTACGGGGCCACAACANACTGATCTTTTCACATTCGAATCACCCATCCACCAGGTAGCATTTAAGACGACTGTCACAACAGGTTCGAATCCCACCGAGGCTACTAAACTCTTCACAATTTGAACAGTTGTTTATCTTCTAATTTACGTTCGTCTTGATGCTTTTGTTCTGGCAGTTGAATAAACACCTTTCGGAGTGCACTAAAAATTTACCGTGACTTGATTTGGTCTGCGGCTTAGGTACAGATACAGGCCATTTAAGTCCTAGAACATGGAGTGGGCAACCACATATAAAAGGTCCCAGTAGGATAAATACGTTATCATACCGGTCAACAATGACCACAGTTGGGTGGAGATGAGATAGTTCGAACGTCGGACCTCAACGTTCTAAGCCAATCAGTGATAGTGACTTAAATCGATGAACTGCCGCCACCCAAGGATCATACAAAACAATGTGCAGTAAGGATGCGAATTCGAAGATTGTGACATTGGAGAAAACAATGGAGAAATTAATTCATCGGATGCATTTGATCCTTTACACAGGATTCTATAATTCAGTTCAGTTCAGTTTGTACAACCATGGATTATGCACTTTCGTGGCCCGGGTTTGGTTGCTGTCTTTTGGATGCCCATTTGGATGAAGCAGCGTGAAAAAGATAGGAACGTTGAAATTGGAGTCGAAGAGAAAATGGTGAATTTCAGTAGACTAAGGTTGCAATAAAATTGAGGCGATTCACGAACGACACTGCTTACAACACTCAGTGCCTCTGACCATTGATTGCAAGGATCCCGAGGTCCTCATCCAGGGAACCTAATGCGGCCGAGTCTCTTTGTTGGGGTTTTCAGGTCCTCGTGCCAGGTCTTATTTTGACCACCATGAGCTGTTTTCACTCACTACCTGCCTCGGCAAACATCTTTCACTGTGGCAACCTATTTGTTGACATGCGTAACGTATGTCCCACCCACTGCATTCTTTAGATGTCGACCACTTGTTCCAGTGGGCGACCGTGGTTACCTAAAACTCAGCGCCTAGCCCCACTATTGTCTGTCCGGTTTCCCCACCAGACTCAATAAATGCTGCTTAGACAGCGATGTTCAAACACCGACAGTCTATCTTTATCTTGTTTTCTAAGTGGTCAAATTTCTGCATTGTATAGAAGAACTACCTGGACTAGTGCAGCATAAACTCGACCCTTCAAAGACAGCCGGATGTCGCGACGGTACCACAGATGCAACAAGTTTTTTAAAGTTTCACTTCCTTCTATTGAATACACAATGATGCAGTTTTCAGAAATGGGGAAGCGGCCAATCAAAGAGCTGCCGTGGGGAAAGTCAGGCGGTGGCGGTGAGGTTCGAACACACGTCTCCCGAGGTGGTAATTTGGTGATGTTACCACCGGGCCACCACTGCCCTTCTGTATGAGCGCTGACACTTCATCCCGTAATGCGTCCCCTGGGTGAGATACAGCTGCCCCACCGAGAAAACTTGTCCACTTGGTCTAGTATTGCCCCAGTTGGCGTGAGGTTGGATGCTGGACCACAGCAACAGGATTTTAAAACTAGGGTTGGTATTCAAGTTGTCGTTAAAGTTGGCTATTCAAACGTGATCGTAAGTCAGTCCTGTTGATTCTCTGAAGCCGCAGACTAGCGCGCAGCAGCGCATTGGTAAGGTTGTTTTAATGCTAACCTGCTTCGATTGATCGGCATCGATGCTTCATTCTCGGCACCCTGTCAATTCATGATGCATCAGGCAATTAATAGTAATCACTATTATCATTCGTTATTGGTCCATGCAGAGCTGGGTAGTAACCATAATTGCAGTTTTCGCAAAGGCGTTGTGGATTTTAACTGTAAACTTTTTCTTCACTTTTCTATCATTAACTACGTTTGTAACAGTTCTCATGCATGTCAAAATATGCAATGAATAAGTGCTTCAATTCCCACAAGCACAAACGCACATTATCTCTTCGAAAACGGACAGGTTTGGGTCTACACTCATTTTAGATGCACCTCCACGAAAGCATTTCTTCCACTTATCCCTCTCTCCCCTGATACCCTATTGAGTCGAGTGTAGTTAATGTGGAAATAGAATAAGTACTGTCTGTCGGGATAGGTGAGGATCATTAGAATTGATGTTTCTGCCGTTGGTTCTTTTATTTTCTGGGGGGATGTCTGTGTGCATATGATCTATTTGGCTTCCGTTGGGGAATCGATTAATCAAACAGCAGTCACATTGTGTTTTACCCCACATTACTCTGTTTTACATGTTTTCAAATAACATGAAATTCATTGTGTCAAACAGTCCATTACTCTGTTTGTCTTTTGTTCATTTTTACATTTATTATGGGCACTTGGTTCACTCATTTCCCCCTCTGCCTAATTTACTTTGACAATCACCAGTGGTAGTTGATTACTGGTTCACTCTTTCTTATCTTACACTGATCTGAACAAAAAGAAGTATACGTTGAACCCCGGGGAATATTGAGCTATCAAGACCAAATGTATCGTTTTTCACGGCTGTCTTTCTCTTAAAACTGTGCCACAAGAACTATATCTATACCGTCTGATCTTGATACATACATACATACATACATACATACATACATACATACATACATACATACATACATACATACAT